ACCCCATCCCACCCCATCCCACCCCCAACTGCCCCTCTCGCCATGCCAACCGACTTCGACGCCCTGCGCGCGTCCCAATTCTCGCGCCTAGACGCCGCCTCTCCGCCGCACGCCTACCTAGACTACACGGGGTCGGGTCTGTACCCGCAGTCGATCCTGCACCACCACCAAACCCTCCTGCGCACGCACTGCCTGGGCAACCCGCACTCGTCCAACCCGACGTCCGCGGTGTCCACAGCGAAGATCGACGCCGCGCGCCGCGCAGTCCTGCGCTACTTCAACGCCGACCCGGCCGAGTACTGCCTCGTCTTCACCCCCAACGCCTCGGCCGCCATCAAGCTCGTCGCGGAGGCCTTCCCGTTCACCCCGCGCTCCGCCCTCCTCCTCCTCGCCGACAACCACAACTCCGTCAACGGCATCCGCGTCTACGCATGCCGCGCGGCCGCCTCCACCACTTACATCCCGCTCGCCTCCGCCATGCGCTGCCCGCCCCTCGCCCCCTACCTGCACAAACGTAATACGGACGCGAACAACCTCTTCGCTTTCCCCGCCCAGTCCAACTTCTCCGGCGTCAAGCACGACCTCGCCGCCGTCCGCGCCGCACACAGGCACGCATGGTATGTCCTGCTCGATGCAGCCGCCTTCGTCCCCACCTCCAAACTCGACCTTTCTGTCGTCCGCCCCGACTTTGTCCCCGTTTCCTTCTACAAGATCTTCGGCCTGCCCACCGGCGTCGGCGCTCTCATCGCTAAGAAAAAGTCCCTCGCCGTCCTCAAGCGCCCCTGGTTTGCGGGGGGCACCGTCAAGTATGCCAGCGTCAAGAACAATGTCCACTCCCTCTGCACGGACGAGTCCGCCTTCGAGGAGGGCACCGTCAACTTTCTCTCCATCCCGGCCATCACCTTTGGCATTCAATTTATTTCACGCATTGGCATTGACAACATTAACGCCAGGGTCCATGCCCTCACCACCACCCTCCTCCGCGGCATGCTCGCCCTCAAGTATACCAACGGCGCCCCTATGCTCACCATATACGGCCCGCACACCATGAAGGACCGCGGCGGTACTATTGCTTTCGATGTCCTCACCCCGACTGCATCCCGCGTCGACGCACGCCACATTGAGAAGGCCGCCAACAAACAAAACATCTCCCTCCGCACGGGCTGCTTTTGCAACCCCGGCGCAGCCGAGACTGCCCTCAAAGCCCACGCCTCACGCACGAGCAAGTGCGTTCACCTCATACCGAACACTGACCTTTCCCTGGAGCACGTCTCCAAATGCGTCGGCGAGTATCTCGGCGCTATTCGCGTAAGCGTCGGCATTGCCACTTCGGAACAGGACATTTCTACTTTCCTTTCCTTCCTCCGCAAGTTCTGCTCCAAGTTCCAGGGAGGCAGAGGTGGCATCAAGAACGCTGCCGATATCAACAGCGGCATTATCAAACTCGTCTTGGATGATGTCAGGGACTCGCGCAAGAAGCATCGACATCATCATCTCAGTAGTCAGAGTTGAGAGTCTGGTTTTTTGTTTTGTTTTGTTTAGACCGCCGAGATTCCAGTTCTTCACACGTATTTTTGGAGCATGAACTGACATTTTACTTTAGTGCTAACGCATAGATCATAGATTCACATTTTAGAGTTTTGTAGTTCTGCTTGCAGTTCAAGTAAAGCATAGTTGCCGCCCCATTCACATCTTTGCACCATTATCCTTTCTTCCTGGTACACTACTTTAAGATTGTCCCCGTATGCGGAATTCTCGTGTTCCCATTAACGAGGGAGATTGGCAAAGTGTGACTTTAGCGGCGTTGCGAAAAGGGGCTCCTAGCCGATTCTGCTCCTTCTCTGAAGCTTCGTGTAGAAAGAGAAGAATGAATGACGAGTCGAAACTCGTCACCCACGACACCTCCCTGGTGGGAAGATGGATTTTGAATGGATTCAAATCTGAAGTCTTTTAGAGGAATGACGTCTTAGATGCTCTGCATCAGACGTTGATTGACAAACTTGCCCTACCACAAGCTGTATCTTCAACGTAGACTGAGCGAGACACCCACTGATATAGTGATACTTTTAGCCCGGGAGCACTGATCACTCAAGCAAGTGATCTTCCTGTTGTACAACACAGCATCGAACTTTCTCGCGTCCAATTAAACTGCAGAAATTTCGATTCCTGATAAAATGATGATCGCAAAAAAAATCAAACACACACTCCACACCATACAGCATGTAAATAGTTGATGTTTGTGCCACGCATTCCCAAACCGAGGCATTGTTACTACACGAATGTTGAGTAACTAGCTAGGGGAATCATAGAGAACATTAGCAATGTCGACCGACAAATTCAAATTCCAAGTTGAGCAAGTATTGATTACAGCAACATGCTAAATGTCTCATCAGGATGGCGAGTTACATAATCTTTCTTTACACAAGTGCCGAAAAAACAGCTGTGTTTGTGAATCCACGAGCATAGATAATGTCTTGAGGCACTATCAATCATTTTGCATTGGACTAAAGACCTAAAGTCAGCCTTGAAGACCTCTGGAGGATTCATGGGTACTGCGTGGGTTTTAATTCAACCACAGACTTCGATAATGCATACGACTTGCAAACATTCATTAGGTCTCCAACGCAAATGAAGGGGGTTTGCGCAGAACAGTGACAATTGCAGGACGACTCGGTCCTTTTGAAGGTGAGCTAAAATATGCTGTAATGGACTCCAACAGCCGACTCAACGCCCTCTACAGCAATGCATAAAAATCGAGAGCAAAAATGATACTTTTACGATAGTACAGTATCTTTCTGCTGTCCCTACATACTTTCGCTTGGCTGTCTCCCAAACAGCTCCCTCACCCCCTCTGCACGAAATTGGCGTTGCACGAAGTCCGCTCGTCTCTGACGATAGCGCTTCTGTATCCTTCGGCGTCGTTCCAGTTGAGAATTCCCAATGTGATACCACCTGCTTGTAAGCTGATAGTATAACTGCATGTCGTCATCCCGCAGCGGCTTCCAGCGTATGTGGAAGTTCGTCAGCCCTAGACATAGACGAAATATGGGGTCATAATTAATCTCGGACCACTTCTATTTCGACCCTAACACATCCCAAAGCCCGCATAAACGTCCGAAATAGTTCTCTACCAAAATGTGGTCACTAGATATAAACTTGTTTGTCGAAACATCCGCGGGAGACAAAAACGAGCGTTGTGGTTTGCGCTTGGGATGAATAATTCTACAAAACTCCCCAGCGCCTTGATAGACTTTATCGGCTAGCACTGCCCACTGATTCAGGTACCTCTCTGCAAGCGGGCCGTTGTCCCCAATGCCCATTTCATCACTCCTTTTCCGCTGGGGGCGGCGATGAAACCATTGCATTTGCTGGAAAATGACAAGATCGGAAACGGACCCGGGCTCGTGCATGCTCGAACCGACAGTGAAACCATTTCGGGTAACTGAGACTTCAACCTTGTATCCATACAATTTGTGTTTACCACTGTAATACCGCTTTCCCTCCTCGACACTGCCCGACGGCCTGAAGGCAGGCTGGAACGTCACATCCGTGGCGTACCTTGCCATGGGATAATTTTTAAACACATGCCCATTTGCTTGCAGTTCCTTCATGGTCCATCTCTTCGTCTGGTTTGAGACGTAGTGCTCATATAAAGGTTCGGATAAGAGCTGTATAAACCGAAGCACCATTCGCTCAAACGCGGACGTTTTCTGCCCAAACATTCTCGCCAAAAAATCCCACGTACCCCCGTGCTTGAGAACCGCCAATACCATAAACAACACGTCTTTAGGCTTCTGCGCGCATTTGCGCCCACGACCGACGTTGTAGTTTGCAAGGACCAACGCCTCAAACCCAGCCCAAGTGCCGATGAATTGGGCCGGGTTGAAGTTGGTCATCTCCACAATGGCCTTCGCACCCCCCTCATCGTAGAAACGGTCAAATATCGGCGCATCAGTCCCATTATCCTCATCACTGTCCTCTGGGCGCTCGTCCTCGAACGCCTCGAGCTCATTACGGCGATCAATTGACGCATTGGCGAGGAGTTGCAGGGCTTGTGCTGCATCGTGAGATGAGAAGCAGGCCATAGTGCAATGTGCGATAATGGTAGGAAATGGCAGGCGAGAGGGACGCGTGGCGGAGGAAGCGGGGGTGGGGCAAGAGGAGTAAAAGTCTCAGAGCAGATGGAGAGAAACTAGTGCAGAGTGGGATAGAGACGATGGGGGACAGAGAGATAGGATGGGAAGGAGTGGAAGTGGGCGTGGAGTTGTGTAGGTATAAAGGTGGCGTGTGGGGGATTGCAGTGGCAAGGTGCGGAAGTGGGGCTTGACACTGTAGGTGTAGAAGGCGGCGCGGAAGCGGGCGAGAAGAGGGCGAGAAGAACCAGTTCTGAATTTTTGAAAGGCGTTGACCTCTGTCATTACGATGTGGCCCGGTCTTTTATCAAATGAACTGGGCGTTGCAGGTTGAGATGCCGCTCTTTCACATTCAATCGAAGTCCCGGAATTGACCACGTATTGGCGATTCGCGGGTTTCTTGTCGAAAAGATCGACCATATTTACAGTTAGTGTGTGATTTATTTATTAATTTGTGATACGTCAAAAATAGTTGTCTTCTCAGTAGTTATTTGGCTCTTTGGGCTGTCCGAGAGAATTTGCTTGAATGGTCTATTGTTTTACTCCGTTTCCTGCATCACATGATCAAATATTTACTCGCCATCCCATGAGTGGTTCCTCAATTTACATTACAGGGGGGGTCGCGATATAGTGCCATCTTTGTTAGTGCCAGCTCCGATATAGTGCTACCCTTTTGCGGGTGGTGTGGTATAAGTACCTTCGTCCCGACCACTCGGAACGAGGGTGGTTAGAGGAAAGGGGGCGCGCGCCGCTGGGTAACCCACGCGAGCGCAAACCGTACGGAAGGACTCGAAAAGAAGGAAGGCTCACGTGGCCGGTGACGCGCAGCCGGTCGGTGGTGTTAGATCCGGACGGCCGGTCACGGGTTAGAAGCCTGAGACTTAGAGGTAAAACCGGACGGAGTCAGCAAAAAGCCGTAAAGGGAAGGGAGGCGAGTCTGCCCCCGTTTACTGGAACGGGGCAGGTGCCCCCGGTCTTAACCAGACCGGGGCGGATAACCAAAATATTAATGCCCTAATGCAGTACATGGCAACAGTACACAAACCCAAGCTGGATATCGAGCAAAAACGCCACGCTTCGGCAGGATATGAAACAGGGACATTAAGAGGTCCCTGCCTCACCGCGAAACCAACATCATAGGCTATTTGGCAAAATATCTCTTCTTTTTTCGAGCATTTCACAAGCCGATATATGTCGGCTTTCAGCTAATCAAGCAGGTACCGTACATATGTTTTAATGTAGACAACCAGTCAGACGTATGTAATATCCACCAGGGGGTTATGGTGGTATTTGGAGGCGGATATCATAGTATTATTTTTTAGTCTCCACTCTTTCTTTTCGATGCAGGTAATCCTATACCTGATCCTCTCGCTCCATTTCCTGCGGCTGATCTCGTAAAATGTCAACAACTTGGTCATATTCTGAGGGAAACTTTTCAGAGTGAGATTGTTCCTCGTCACTCATGTAATTCTTGGAAATAGAAACAAGATCATCAACAGTTTCTACATTCAAGCTACTTTTCCTTTGTGATGTAATGAGCCCTGCCAAACTGAAAGTGCGTTCGTTCTCTATCTGAGTTGGAGGTATACCAAGAATATGACGGGATAGCTCGACAACTGTCGGATACATCGCCTGATTTTGTTGTAACCATTCCATCTTCGACTCTGAACACAAAGTAGCATGTGATGGAATAAACTTCGCCTTTCTAAAGCGAAGCAATTCGTTCTTGACATGCAGTAAAATTGTGTCGTCCGTAGAACTCACAGGACAAGAATCTGAAATCAGTTCTGGGAAACAAATTGGGGTGTCCACGTCAGCACTATGGTTTCTTCGTGATGGACTAGAAACATGCCCATCTCCATCACTAGTCGTTATGCCGTTCTGCCGCTTGTAGATCCGAACCAATGTAGGGAGTATCCACGCGTTATCGTATGCTCTTGCTGTTTCCTGCCCTTTCAAAGGGTCGTGTCTGTGCAGATCCATAAAGGGGTTCTGTAAGGTTTTAAACTCCGGATCAAGAGCTAGTGATAGAAAACAATGATGTTGATCGCGATGTTCATCAGAGAAAGAAAGCAAAGGATGCAGTATCGGGGTCAATTTCCTCATTAATGTTACAGCCATCCTTTTTTGCAGATTTGTAGCTGAACATTGAAATTGCCTTCCGCCATGTGCAAAGGATAGTTTGGGATAGCTTCGTCCATATCACGGTACATAACGTAAAGCCTTATAATCTTACTGACCGCATCACTGAGAAGCCAGAATTTCCGCGTTTGATTAAGAATACAGGCCTTCATTACAGGATCTAACGTGTTCACAACGAGCTTCACAATCTCCCAGGTCGTAGGAGATGGCACCCGTTCTTGAAGCTGCACCGAAGTTTGACTGGAAAAGCAATCTTCAGTAACCGCCCTGTACTTCAACATCATTGACATTATTGTGATGACCGACACAAATCTGGTCTTGACAGGTGTAGGCATTATTTTTCGTTTCAGCTTGTGCTTGTCACAGAATGCGTACCACTGTTCTCTTCCCTTTCCACTTTTCTTTGTCCAGGTAATACACTGTTGCA